AGATTTGAATTCAGATTTGAACGCTTAAAAAGCATTTCAGCTTTAGTTCTTTTTGTCTACAAGTTGATGATTGGAGCTCTAAAAATAGCACAGAAAATTACGCGAGAAAATGCTTTTGAACACAAGACAAAGAAACCCGGATTAATTTTAACCCCGGGTTAAGCGCTAATCAGCCTTCGAACAACTCGGCCCTGGAGGTGAATCAGTGAATAGTGCAGGATATTCACTGATTGAGTAGCCAATCAGAGAGCGCGAAAAACACTATCTAGAGGGTCTCAATGGGGTGGTGGCATTTACGGTTATCGGCTAAAATTTTGGCTCTTTTACGGCTATCGGTTAATTTTTTTCAGTTACGGTTAACGAAAAAGTTAAAAATTAACTTCTTTTGTTTGAAAAAGTTAAATATTAATTAACTTGTATTTTTTTGTATCTTTAAATCAAAATAAAGGTCGTTTGGATCATCTCGGGATGAAATAAGCTATTCTTTTGAAAAATTTTAACATTTGATAGATCATGCTTTTTATAAAGTATTCCACTTCTAATTTTATTTTACACATAGAAATGTCAATAGTCAATTTAAAAATAATCTTTGTGAAAAAGCAAAAGCAGACACGCGAATGCCCAACTCAAGGCCGGGGCGCGACATACATTACAACAGAAATGGCCGTTTTCACATTAGAGAAGGATTATTCGTGTAAGACGGGTTATCCGTTTGATTATTCGCCGCGTCAGATAGGTAATACGTCTTAATTTGACAATGGAATAGTTTTAATTTTGAATAAACAATCCGCCTGACTTTTGAAGGCAGGATTATCCGTTCCAGATAGCCTGTGTATACCCGCCCCCTCCCCTCGGAAAAAAAACGGAGAAGGGGTGTCTGTGGGGAGGACGCGACTGTAAACAGGCTAGTCTCAGACAGATAATCCATTTCTAGCTCTAGTGTGAAAACGGCCAATAACAAAATTCCCGTGTCCAGTGTTTTTAATCATTGCAAAGGACTGTAAGGAACGACTGTCTGCCGTTGCCTTGTCCGTAGGCCGCATTATTCCACGCGGCTAATGCGTTTCGGGTCACTTGGTCCAAGCGAGTTCGCCACCGAAATGCCTTGACCGAGATTGCGTGGGAAGGCGTCGTACAGGGACTAGGCAAGGCAATGTCTACCGTAGCGTCAGAGAAAAACTGGGAAATGTTGTTTATCGGCAACTTGTTTTACACACAACGACATCTCTGCGTGTTGTTTCACCAGTGTTTCGAGGGCACGAACTCCTGAAAATTGCAAATATTAATCCCCAGCAAGAAGCCACGCTTTCGCTATGGAAAAAATTAGTTCCCCGAGAGAGCGCCAGAAATGGAGCCTAGGTCTTGGTTAACACCTAAAAGGCGCTTCGCCGAACGTGCGTACGAAGTCACACTAGCCGGGAATAAGAAACGCAACCATAAGTGAGTTTAGTACCTTCCTTAAAAGTAGCAAATCTAGGGAACACTTTCTTTTACGGTTAACTCTTTTTTACCCTATTTACGGCTAACGTTTAAAACTTTTCCATTTTTACGGCTATCGGCTAAATTTTTGGCCGTTTTACGCCTATCGGTTAACCCCATTGAGACCCTCTATCTACTGTTTTAGTATAATTATACTAAAGTGCAATAAAAACCAAGAAAAGTATTGTGTTTCCAGAACAAGGATAGTCTGAATTTCTATCATTTCCTAAAATTTACCGTGGGAAAACCAGAGGTGATAACTAATTGATTGTTTTCTAAACAACGTACCCACGAGTTGACGACAGTCTTTCTTTGATTTTTTTAATCAGTGCTTTCGGTGATAAGCTTTAAACAGTCACTGAAGAATACCGTGATCGCCGTTTGCTGTGAACGTGTTTCTTTTAATATTAATCCCTTCATGTATTTTAAAACACGACAGTGGACATCTCCGTCCTGTCTCTGTTTTAATTTTCCCATATTCTCAGTCTAGTTTAGTTATAAGATTGTTTGTTGGCTTTCTTAAAAAATGGATTGTTCTAAATTTGAATTGTTTTTCACGAGAAAGGAGTCCCGTGCTCTGCATGATGACCTGCGATGGTTCTGTTTGACATTCGTGACATCCTCACTACACATGAATAAGCTAAGAGAACAAACGAGTGGGTAAATGAATGGATGAAGGGATGGTCGGACGGACGAACGGATGGACGGACGAGCGAAGGAACGAAGGGACGAAAGAACGAATGACGGAAGGAACTAACAAAAGGACTTACGGGTTCGGACGGATGAACAGGTCGACGGACGAACGAACTAACGTACGGACGGATGAATGAATGAAGGAATATAATTGTTTTATTATTCATTAAAAATAATTATTGTTTAAAACAAGGTAAAAACGAGCTTTTAGCAAACAGAACCAGTAAAGATGCTGACGTGTTGAGATGACTGATCCAGGTAGTTTTCACTCGTATTTTTTGACTGTTTGTTCTGTTTTCCAGCGTTACCTTAGTCATTTGAACTCTTCTTTTAAACTTCTTCTTTGCGGCCGAAAAAAAAAAACTGTTAAGGCTCTGTGTGACGGGGAGTTCTATTCACAGCTAAGCACAACAATTGAATTACATAACATCCGGATATCGCAACTCGGGATCAAAGAATGAAAAATTCAGGCGCATTTCACTGAATTGATCACCCGAGTTATCCTGTCAAATATAACAGTATGAGAAATTACTTTAATTCATGTCTCGCCGGTGAACTTCCGAACTAATAAGGGTTGGGGAAATCGCCTCTCACGAAGACGGGCAACGCCCGGGGCTACCGATTATCCATGTGCGTCAAACAGAGAGACGTTAAAAATCACCGCTCTATTCTTTTCGACTCCGAGTCAACGTTTCAGCCCTTCATCATTTTAATGTCAAACCTTTCCCCTCAGTAAGTAACCTTGTAGAGAGGTGTCCGTTATAGGGAGGTAGGTCCTCTACCGCCAGGGCCAAAATAAAAATGGCCGTTATGGAGAGTTGCCTGGAGAGGAGAATCCCAGATAACAAAGGCGGGGATACTCGTCGGAAAATTATAGTTAATTCCCTGGGGGAATCCGATCTTGTCGTGGCTCAGGCCTTATTTGATTCCTAAAGGAGACTTAAGTCCAATACAATATGACTGCATTTATATTCATTTATTTATTTGATAATATTTCTGAACGCACATTCTTAAGAGGTACCATTAAGGGTACAGTGATATATTGGCTTTCCGTCAATCCGCAATTTCTGCCAATTTCAATTAATCAACCTCCTCCACAGGCTTTCCTAAGGTTTAGTGGGGAGCACTGAACAAGCGAGAAGCGCAAGAGCTGGAGACAAGTGAAAAGCGGGAGATGGGGATGATAGGAACGAGCGCAGAGGGCGAGCGGGAAGTGAGTCTGTTTGCCCTCGCTTTCTTTAATAGTTAACTCAAACATCCCCCAAAAAGTAATCGGGAGCGACTGAGGACGAGCAGACAGCATCCTCGTCACTTGAATGAGAATGAGACAGACGGGAGTCGCCCCTCCACATGAAGAAAGAGATTCGACTGCATTTAGAATCTGCGTCATAGTAATGTTAAATTACAGAAAGCAAACAATTCAGGTGTATTGATTGGTAGTTTTTTGGTGTTGCAGACGTGTGCAATCGCCAAATGGCTTAAGAACTAGACAAAAGATTGAAAAGACACTGCACGATCCCACACCACTCACAAAGCAAACCAACAATGGTTTCCAAAAAACCAAGAAACACCCTCTTGATCTCCCCATACAAAAAATTAATGGTCTGTATCGAGAGAGAATGAACTCTCTTGTCTGTATCCTTTCCTGGTGCTTTCTTCGCTCTGTTTCGGACAACTGTCGCCATTTTTCTGTCTACAGGATTAAAAATTGCAAACATACTTAGAATACATAGAATTGCCTGCAAACAAAAACATAATGCTAGATATACGTTTTCGAAGGCTTGTTGTGGTCGTTGGAAACTCTAGTATAGACGCGGGGGTTTTGACGACTTTGATGCCTTCTGGTCAACAAGAAAACGGAAGTAAGAAAAGCCAATATAGTGCAGATGATTGCGAGGTAATAAGGTCGCTAGAGAAAAAAATGCAAAGAGTTCAATACCAAACAAACATCAAAGCAAAGCTTCACTTAGGGACCGGTCATTATTTATCGCCTGGGGGGGGAGGGGGGTGGAGGATTTGGGGCTAAATAAGGTGAAATTTAGCCCATCCCCCCTTTGAATCTTACTTCACTAAATAACATTTGATGACTTTCGCGATTCCCCCCACCCCCACCATGTCTTCATTTTCCAAGCAAATTTGAGTGGTCCCCTCTAAGAATCCTTCCAAAATTTCCGGTGATCCCCCCTTTTGGTTCTCAGTTACGACTGATCCCCCGTTTGTTCTCCTAAAAATCAAGTGATCCCCCCAAAAATCGTCCCCCCCCCCGGCGATAAATAATGACCGGTCCCTTAGAAGATTTCACTGAAAAGATTTGACTCAGGGAGAATAGAAAGGGTCAGTTGGTGACAAGGAAAACAGAGACATTCATCCGGTATTACTAAGACAGCACTTGCTTCAACTGTACGTGTTATCGTGGATTAACACGTACAGACTAGAGCAGNGCTCTTCCCTTCTTCTGTTTTCCCCACTTTTTCTTCTTTGTTACGACTGATCCGCCGTTTGTTCTCCTAAAAATTAAGTGATCCCCCCAAAAAACGACCCCCCCCCCGGCGATAAATAATGACCGGTCCATTAGAAGATTTCACTGAAAAGATTTGACTCAGGGAGAATAGAAAGGGTCAGTTGGTGACAAGGAAAACAGAGACATTCATCCGGTATTACTAAGACAGCACTTGCTTCAACTGTACGTGTTATCGTGGATTAACACGTACAGACTAGAGCAGGTTAACTGACAGCGTTTACTTCCCGTTTAGCTGAGGCCTCGTCACTAAAGGAAATTTCATGCGGGCAGGTTTCCTCAGTTACTAGAAGACTTTGCTTTGCGCACAATGACGAGTTCATCTGGTGCAATATCTCGCGTCCTCGTAGCTTGCTGTTGTGTTATGTTCATCAGCATACTTTTTTTAAGCGCTGGCTATGTAAGATTGGAACTGGAGATAGGAGCTCTCAAGGAGAAATTCGAAGTAATCGAGCAACACGTAAAGACAATTGGTACAGCCAAGGACCCTCCTTACTTAAACAAAGGTAACACTTATTTTGTTTAATGTCAGATTTACATTGTAGAATGCTCTTTTTCCTTCCTTTTTTCATTGAAATTGAATGCTTTCTAATTAAATTTCGGGAATATCTTATTTTTGTTCCCACAAACGGGTGCCGAAGCCACGACATTCAATTTAAACTACTGGGTAGATAGACCAATTTAAAATATATCAAAAAATTCTTACTTTGGGCTACGAAGTTTTATAGCCGGCATATTCATTGCTGAATCTCAAGGTTAATTCTTTTGTATTATTTATCTAAGCCTTATATAGAATTTGGTCTAGAAAGATCTTGATAGCCCTTGTTTGATTCTGAAATGATGGTCTGCCTTTGCGTTGTAACGTTTTACGTTTGACCTCTTTTAGATGGTACCACGCATTTCTCATTCTTTTTTATTATTTTCGACGTTTAGCAAAATGAAATTTTATATTTTTCTGCCTCTTTCAGTTTGGAAAGTCTTGTCAAAGAGAACAAAGAATCGTAGAAACTAAAAAAGGCAATCGAGACTACTAAATTAGTTGAAATGGCCGCGAGCCCTTGCGCAGCTTTTGAGTTACAGTTTTAGGATCAATGAATGCAGATTCTCTCGTTTCCTTAAATAGGGTCATTTTCATGCTTCCTTGTCAGCTTCTTTCTATCATTTCCGGATAGTCGTGATGCCGAAGGAAAGGAAATTGCCTAAATCAGAACGACTTCAAAGTGGTTATAGACTCTTTAAGAATGCCCCCTTCGGACTGAAAATCTACTCTTGGCCGGTACTAAAACGACTATAGTGTAATGTTCATTTCTGATCAGTAGCACTGATTTCAATTAAGGTCTTTAGAATAATTCCTTAGTTTTCAGCTTATGTGTGTCTTCTTCCCCGTATTTATGACAGCAAGAGAAAGAATAACATTTTCGTTTTCAAGGAAAATGGATCTATTGAAAGTTTCTTTATATATATTCTTGCAGGAGCCTATTAACTTCTGTTATTTGATATCATCTAAGCCTGTCTTTTTTTTTTTTAGTTTAATTTAATTTAATTTTTTTAAATTTATTTATTAAACATCCTTTAACATAACATTACAATAAACTTTACAATAACAGGGCGGCAAATAAAAAGGAGGCGAAACAGTAAAATAAATAAATAAACAAACAAGCAAAATAAAGCGAAATACGAAGGTTCAACAGATTAACGACAACAAGCGGAACAAATAGAAAAATGTTTGCTAAATTACTATAAATCCAACACTAATCAGAAATGCACAGCGTGGTCCACTTATTTCTGTATTTGTTAAGATTTCCTTTTGTTATGCAATTTCTCTTTCGCACTGGATTTTAATTTCCAGGAGAACAATGAAAACTTCCAGCTCTGGCGTCTCAAACTTGTTTCTAGCTAAGTAAACGTAATATCTAGCAATTCAGAGATAATGGTTAAAAGTATGAAAGCTGTTAGATTCAGGTTTGTATCCATAAAGAACTTTCGTTGGATTTGGATTTATGTTTTCAGAACGTTTACGATTCCACCAATCTATGACTTTTTCCCAAAAACGTTTTACCTCAGGACACTCGTAAAACATATGGCTAATAGTTTCACAAGGAGCATCACATTGTTCGCATTTTGGAGAAGATTTAACATTCATTTTCCAAAGGCGTTGGTTGGTCGGAAGAATATTGTGGATGAGTTTGAACTGAAAACTTCTTAGCTTATTTTCAATGGTGATTTTGAATGGAAGCTCATATACGGCACTAGGACTGAATGTTTGTTCTCTTAAATAGGATTCAGTTAATGGAGGGCAGAACGATTTCTCAGCAAACATTAGTCGAGCATATTTTGCTGAAACATTTCCAACGGTTAGTTGTGTCACCTTTGGTTCGTTGGTGTGTTCCTGATTGCCATGTAAGATAGCATTTTTCCAATCTTTAGGAATCGGGGCCAGAAGACCACCGTAATCAAGAAAGGTACCACGAATGTGAAAAGTGTCTTTAAGCTCTTGGAAAGATAGGAAGTTATCGTGAGCATTGAGGATATCTTTGATTCTTAAAATGCCTTTACTAACCCATGCTTTATAAAAAACCGTCTTTCCGCCGATCTTAATAAAGCGGTTATTCCAAAGTATTTCCTCTTTAATTTCATTAACACTAAGGGGTACCTTGGAATGAAGGATCTGCCAGACCGTTAAAATGTTCCTATAAAAGAGGGGGAGACCTTCTAGATCTAAGAATTTCAAATCGTAATTACACTGAAAGAAAAAAGAGCCTCCGAATTTTTCAAGATGAGAGTCAAGAAGCGCACACCAATGATGACCATCCGATGCACAATAGCGATTTACCCAGGCAGCTTTAAGAGATTTTTCTACGTCCGCGAAATTGACTATGTTAAGGCCACCTTTGGAGATTGGGCCTGTCAGTGTGTTTCTTTTGATTTTATCAGGCTTAAAGTTCCATATGAAAGGGAAAATGACCTTATTAACTTCTTTAGCAAAATCGGTCGGAGTATCAAGTACAGAGCAATTATAAACAAGTTTAGACAGTGCTAATGTTTTGATAATAGCAATTCGCCCCAGGATCGACAAGCGCCAAACTGACCAAAGATTTAACACCTTTTTCATTTTAACAAGCCGTTCATCAAAGTTGATCTTCTCGCCAAGGTGCGTTTCATAAGCGAAAACTACGCCGAGAGAGGAGACGTATTGCTTCGGCCAAGAGATTCCAAAAGGCTCGTCTTTACCTAATCTGTTTTTCCACAATCCCAGCCACAACCCTTCAGTTTTCGACTTATTTATTCTCAGACCGGAGAGCGTACTGAATCGATCAAGCAAAGCTAAAAGGGCTACTGCAGACGAGTCGTCGTGAAGAAAAGTAGTGGTATCATCGGCATATAAGCTGACTTTAGATTCTTTGTTTCCGTTTTTAAGACCTTTGATCGATTTGCTTGTTCTGATCTGAATAGCAAGAGGCTCTACGGCAAGAATAAAAAGCATCTCGGAAAGCGGGCACCCTTGTCTCACTCCCCTTTTTAGGGGGATGAATTCCGAAGCGTGTCCATTGTTTACAATGCAGCTTGAGATATTATGATAAAATGTGTGGACCCAGTTACGAAAACTTGGGCCAAAGTTCATTTCCTCTAACACCCGGAAGAGGTAGTCCCATTCTAACAAGTCAAACGCTTTTTCAAAATCCAGAAAGAAAATCATTCCTTGGTCATTTTCATGTTGTGCGATAATATCAGAAATAAGACGGATGTTTTCGCCAATGAATCTGCCCTTAATGTATCCTGTTTGATTACTTCCTATAAGGAGCGGAAGAACCTTCTCCAGCCGTTTAGCAATGCATTTAGTAGCAATTTTTTAATCTGTATTTAAAAGCGAAATGGGACGCCAATTTTTAAGAGACAATAGGTCATTATCCTTTTTTGGGATTAGCGAAAAAATTCCTTGTCTCTGAGAGATGGAAAGTTCTCCTTGTAGAGCCCCGTGATTAAGACAGTCAATCAAAGGGCAAGAAATCTCCTTCCAAAAACAGAGATAGAATTCCGCTGTTAGACCGTCTGTTCCGGGGGACTTGTTACGTTGAAAAGCTTTAATAGCAGATAAACATTCTGCTTCAGTAATCGAACCTTCACAAAGGTTTTGTGAGACATCGTCTAGTCTTGGTAAAGGTCCAGAATTAAGAAAGTCTGATAGCTGGTCAGGGGAGGTTTGGCCTTGGGAAGTATATAATTGTTGGTAGTAATACTTCATTTCATTCAAGATAGTTTTAGAGTCTTCTATTGTAGACCCTGCCGAGGATTTCATTTTTTTATGTGTCTTTTGTTGTAACTTCTTTTCGAAAGGTTGAGAAAATATTTATTACATTTTTCTCCTGATTCATACCGTCGAGCTCGGCTTCTGACAATACAACCTCTGGTTTTCTCCTCGGCCATTTGATCTAATTTAATTTTTATCTTTTTTGCCTCGTTCGCTAGAGGACTTTCTTCTGGAGCAGCATCAATACGAGCATTTGGATCTTGGAGTTTTCGGAGAAGTTCGAATTCCATATCCCTTTTTTCCTTAGCTTTTCTTTTAGCAAATCGAATGGAGAAGATCCTTATTTCCATTTTTATCATTTCGCCAAAAAAGCCTTTTGTCAGTAACTTCCCTGTACTTTTCTTTAGCATTTAGGATTAAAAACTTCAATTTTGTAACGAATTCTTCATTCTCAAGCAGAGAATTATTAAACTTCCAAAACCCTGGTCCTCTAGGTACACTTGATCTTCTGGTGTCAACGAGATGGTGACAGGCGAGTGATCTGAGTCATAATAAGCGCTGATATCCGTTTCAGCAACGTGTGTCAGTAATTGTTTCGAAATTAGCCAGAAATCTAGTCGACATTTAATCTTTCCTGAGCCATTTGCCCAAGAATAACGCTTCTTATTCGGGTGTTGAGATCTCCAGACGTCGACTAAGTCAAAGCTGTTACAAAGTTCCCGGATTGCTTGGATGGTCCTTTTCTTATGAAGTATGTCCCTACCACCTACTTTATTGACCTCTGTCAAAGGACAGTTAAAGTCACCGCCTAATAAAATGTTGTTAGTACTACTACGGCGAATGGGATCGATGATTTATCAAAAAAGTTAACTTGCTGGTTTTGGTCATTGCGAGCATAAATATTAACTAGACACAAATTATCTTGATTAATATTTATGTTCGCGACGAGAGAACGTCCATTTTTGTCCACAGTGATTTCCAGGATATCAACGTTTAGGGAAGGCTAAACAATATCATTACGCCCTTACTGTGTTTGGAAGCTTGCGCAAATAGGATTTCACCACCCCATTCTGCCCGCCACACATCCTCCAAGCTAGCATCGCTATAGGTTTCTTGTAAGAAAATTATATCAAATCTATTCAGATGGAGCCACCGAAAGAGCTTCCTCCGTTTAATTGATTTATTGAGGCCCCTTATATTCAGCGAAACAGCCTTAAGGCACGTATGTTTCTGGAATCTTTAGGCATTCATTTTCGGGTTTATATGTGTTCCACACTGTGCAAATCATGATAGTGTTTTGCTCAAGAAAAAGTTGCCGTTTAGTATTTTGGCGCATGCAAGTTACAATGCCCAAAGGTGAAAAGCAATTGCAAAATAAAAGACAAAACATAAAAAGCGAAATACTTTGACAAAAAAATTTAGCACATGTAACAAAATGCACATAAATTAAGCTGTAGAACAGCTTATTGTATAGGAAGGTTAATGCAAAGATGCAAAGCATCATTCAATCGCGATTAGAGACAAAGCGACGCCCTCCTACCATTCTCTCCGCTAATTAAATATCAGAATGTAAATTTTAGACTGAAAAAAGTAGCAAGGTGTAAGGCGAAGAAAGTTAATAATTTAAATAGTATTGAAAAGAGGAGTTTCCTATTTTGGGGAGCAAATTAGCATCGGGGTTTAGTAACCGAGGCGAAAAAAAAAAGGAAGAAGAAAAAGACTAAATTAACTAATTTTGGTAAGATCTCCTTCAGCGTGTATTATTTTTGGCTGTTCTTCCTGTGACTCCTTAATAAATATCTTGCCGTCCAAAGTCCAGGCACTATGCCAATGATTATCTTTCTTAAATTTTCTAACTTTAGCAAACAACTTGCGCCTTAAATATGTAAGATTTTCATTGATATATACCACGTTTGTAGCAAGAAAATACTGATTTAAACTCACTGACTTTGGACGTTTCCTAGCTTTGTACAGCTCAGTTTTATCTTCTTATGTGATTTAAACCGAACAATAATAGGTTTGGGGCCGCTGTTGTTCCGAGGTCCCATTCGGTGACAAATGTCGATATCAGAGGGAGATATGTTCACGTTGACAACTTTTCCAAGCTTAACATCATTTTCAGCGATATTTTCGTCTGCAGTTTCGGCGATTCCATGAATCTCTAAGTTGTGTTTTCTTGTATACTGTTCCACGTCATCTACTTGGGTTATCGCCGTTCCAAGATCTTCGTAGAGGATGTCAACATCTGCTCTTACCTCGCTGAGAGATTTTTCAAGCGACGACGCTTTATCTTTAAGCTCTTTATTTTCTTTTTTAAGAGACGTCAGTTCGGCATTATTGAAGTCTAAAGATTCCTTTAATTCTTCATATTGCCTTCTCATAGCACGGTTTTCTTCCAATAGTTCGTCTGTATTCCTACGGATCTTGTTCAGGACTATCCAAACGTTAATATCGTTCTCGTTGTTGCTTAACTCTTCAAGAGTCTGCTTCGCCGACTTGCTTGGAGGTACCTCGGGCGAGCTTCCGCTACTAAACCTTTCATCACGTTTTCTTCGTACGACAGAAGGTGTATTACTGCTTTCCTCACTTTCTTTTCTTGACATTTTAGGGCGGAGAGAATAACGTTCTCGGACTACTCGAAAACACGTCCGCACATCATGCGAGTCTCCCCAGTCTCCTTCATCTAAGCCTGTCTTGGTTAAAAAAAAAAAAGATTATCCAATTTGCAAGCAATTTATTTCAATCCAAAATATAAAAACTAAAATTCTGAGGACACAAGGCTAATGAATCGAAAGGAGTCTCCAAATTCGTATACGTATTCTGGAGAGGATCTCGGGAAGAAACAAAGGTGGAAGAAACGAGAAAAAATCTAATTAGTCTAAAAACAGGCAAAAAGAAAGGCTTATTAGTTTAGAGCTATAAAAATTATATCTGATTGAATTTATGTAAACATGGCTTCAGTGAGTGTCTACAGGTCCTATGCTAAGTGTGTCCTTATTACCAAGACTTTGACCTTCCCCACCCAAGCCAATGGATGACTGTCTGCGAGCCCCACTGAGCTCTGCAATTACCATGGTAATCATTCTCAGCAGAGGCCTTATTCAGCTGGCTAGGGCAAATTAAGAACAAGGTACTTGCCAGTCAAAGCCTCAAGTAAACACTGCTGCTTACTGAAGGGGTTGTATCAAAATAGCCCCTCCTTACCCCACTAGTTTTAACCCCTAGGCCTGATCCACCCACCCACTGTTAGGGCAGGCCCTGGGCTATCCAGCTGTATCGACCAAGACTGCAAGCCCCCTACTTTTTTGGACACAGCACTGGCTTTAAGCCAGGCGAAACCTAGTGGCAAGGTTTTAACGAAATCAGACAGATATATAATTATTTTCCCTATATTTTCACATTTTTTTGTTTCGATTATGGTATTTCGATAAACTGCAACGAATTTTCTCGTGTATTTTCTGAACCAGCCAGCCCATGGCTGACGAAATATTGGAAACAAAAATATATTCATTGTCAGAGCTGTCGGTCACGCTCGCTTTTCTTTTTTTTATTTATCTACTTTTTGTTTTGAAAAAAACATTTTGCTCACTATATCCTTCAGGATGCGACACCTTTTTTGTACTATAGTCCTACATACAACGGTCTAATCATGCAATTAGCGCTTGATTTTTTTTATTCTGCGAGAGGTAGGTGATTTTTAACCTTATTAGGGAATTACATTAATTATTAGGACAATAGAAGGGAAGGTAAGGTGTATTGTCTTCTGTATGGTAGGTATACCATGAATCTGCAAAATTAATTCTGAAGGGGGGTTGAAAAAACGGAAGTTCTTAAGTCACTATTCACGCAAGGCAAGGTGTATCAATCCAATAATACACAAGCAAACCAACCAAACGAACACTGAATAAAGCTAAAAATGTGTAAAAAATTTTAACAATATTACATGCAAGCCATGCATTTATTACTATTGAGTCTGTATGACTGTTTTCTTACAGATATCCACTCTGTGAACATCGACTCCAACCTGCCTTCAGCTGTAAAGATAAGTCGAAGCGCTCGAGCCATCAAGGCCACAAGCAAAAGTAACAGTTCTCTAACTCCAGCCATAAGAAAACAAATCACTAAAGCTGTCAACTCTGCAACACGTAAAGTCTGCACCAAGAAAGGTCGCCAGATATGTGTCAAGGGATCTCGCGGACCTCAAGGACCCCCAGGATCTCAAGGACCACAGGGATCCCGGGGACCTGCAGGACCCCAAGGCCCTCAGGGAAAATCAGGAACTCCGGGAAATTCGGGACCTCAGGG